CGCTTTCTCACACGGCCGCTGGCAGAAGGACTGCCACTGGACGGAGCCCTGAAGAGCCTTTCAAACGAGGTTGGCCGACTCTTTTCACACAGGCCAAATGTCTGGGAAGAGGTGAAAACACCCACACTTGACCCCACCCCGTGACCTTTCAGTTGACCTAACAAAGGGCTGTAAGATAATTGGTTCTTTACCCTTCTCTCTGGCAACAAAACTGACACCTTTTTACAAGGAGTCATGTTTGCATAGACCGCAATACCTGCAGTCATAATACAAACAAAATGCATAACTCTGATGTATGCACTGTCCTTGAAGTTGATTGGTCCACACCCGAGACAGCTTTCCTTAGAGCCTAGTCTCATCTGGTCCAACCCATGTTAGACTTCAAGGACAGTGCACATTATCAGAGTTATGTCTTTTGTTTGTATTATGACTGCAGGTATTGTGGTCTATGCAAACATGACTCCTTGTAAAAAGGTGTCAGTTTTGTTGCCAGATAGAAGGGTAAAGAACCAATTATCATATTTTTACTGGCAAATGAGGTTCCCATAGTGTAGATGCTTGCCCCGAGCTCTCATACTCTGATGGTGCATTGTCCTTGAGTTGTGCGCCTTTTGGCGTCATCTGGTCCAACCCATATGAGACTAGGCTCTAAGGAAAGCTGTCTCGGGTGTGGACCAATCAACTTCAAGGACAGTGCACATTATCAGAGTTATGTTCTTTTGTTTGTATTATGACTGCAGGTATTGCGGTCTATGCAAACATGACTCCTTGTAAAAAGGTGTCAGTTTTGTTGCCAGATAGAAGGGTAAAGAACCAATTATCATATTTTTACTGGCAAATGAGATTCCCATAGTGTAGATGCTTGCCCCGAGCTCTCATACTCTGATGGTGCATTGTCCTTGAGTTGTGCGCCTTTTGGCGTCATCTGGTCCAACCCATATGAGACTAGGCTCTAAGGAAAGCTGTCTCGGGTGTGGACCAATCAACTTCAAGGACAGTGCACATTATCAGAGTTATGTTCTTTTGTTTGTATTATGACTGCAGGTATTGCGGTCTATGCAAACATGACTCCTTGTAAAAAGGTGTCAGTTTTGTTGCCAGATAGAAGGGTAAAGAACCAATTATCATATTTTTACTGGCAAATGAGGTTCCCATAGTGTAAAGGGCTGTAAGATAATCGTGAAAAAAATATCTACATCATTAACTATGCAAGTGTCAAGGTGTTTTTATGGCAGACCCGTTAACCATTATTCTGTCCTGTATTTTGTTTTATATCCATATTAATATTAACACGTAATTTAAAATATTTAAAAATATAATTACATCTTGCAAATAACTGTCTGGTTACTTTACCTATTTTTTTGTAGGAAATTGTAAAGATTAAGAAAAATGTAGCGCATATATTGCGTCATTGCAATTCGTGGAATATAGACTCTACTGAAGCTGAGTTGACATATATGAAGCCTTATGGTCTCATTAATATCCTCAGGTTCCCAGTGATAAAATGTTATCGTAGCCCTGTGAAGACCAAAGCACACTGTAGCAGTTGGGGTGGTCTATCGAGTTGGAAATGTCCCCGTGTCTAGACTACAAAGGTTTTGATTAAAGATCTGGAGAGAAAAAACAAGTCCGGATATTTTTAAATTCTCGGTGTCTTCGAAAACCGATTGATGTTAGCCTTATCGGGTTGGGTCTTAAATCTTACGATTTTGAGCTTTGCAAGCGTTATTTAGTGATAAAGGGAATGGAGTAGAAAGACGGATCTGATTTATAAATAAACATTATATATTTTTGTTAGATATGTGTTTTCAAACATCCAATAGTTTGCTTCATACGTTATTTCCTGGGTGAGGCCAAGTAATCATCTGACCAAATATATGTTGTAATACCCTCCACCACCTGATGCAGCCAAAAAGTTGAATTGTCACGTGGTGTACGAGCGTTTAAAGGGGCAATTATTGTTTCAACAAATAATAAAATAAGTATTCTCAACAACCAGATATAGCAAATTAATTGTACGATTTATAATTTTGGCTCCGAAAAAAAAACCTTACGTGTAAGGTTTTGCAGATGTGAATTTGTGTAGGCATTTTCAGAAAGTTGAAGGAAGACTTGTGGGATTTATTGACCAAGATGCATAAACCCGAGTTGTTGAATTACTTTTGCTCGTTAGGTGGAGAAGCGTGATAACACGACACAGTAGAAAAAGTTACGTTTGATATCCACTCAAAAGCATTCCAATCCATCCGCTGTGAAAAAGGTATGCGTACAAGGCAACGTGCAAGCAGGACCTGGAATAGATTTACCACTTTTTTCAATTCTGACTTCATGCGATGAGAATAAGGTGACCTTCAAAACAATAAATGTGCAATGCTTTTGTGAGGAGCGCTGCCAAATTGGCGGCGTCATTGTTTCACAGCAAAGCCTGCGCGAGTGTTTATACTTTTGCCATGATGTTAGCTGACACTTTTCACCTAAGTGCCCCCGCATGCGGGATGATTAAAGTAATTTCGCCCACCTCCTCGGCTGCAAGCGGAGAAGCATAAACAACGCAGGATTGTTTACTCTCAAGCGAGACGAGTGAATATTGCACAATGCATCGCCGTTTTTTTTATTTAAAGGCGCGACTTATTTAGTCCTTAAACAGGTTAGCTAGTGGCTGGACATCATCGTCTTTGTTGCAAATCGCGTCGCGATCCAATTCATAGCTGCATTGTGGTCACAAGATGAAGTGATACACGTCAGGGGTATAAAATACAACCCCCCACCGGCCCTCCCCATCGCTTTAGCCGTATAAAATGTCCACGTGACATTAGCAGATACACAAGGCCGGTGATGCACTTTCTTTGGCAGCTCTGCTGGCGTAAGCGGAACACAACTGAGGAAAGGCCAAAATGAAACACAAATAACTCGGTACGGCTCCAAACAATGGAAGCAACCCTCAAAGAGGATGTATTCGGTTAAATTGCCCCAATCTCACCAGTGCTGATGTATATCATGCCACCACACAGAGTTTAGTACTGTGTCTTCATGCTGAGTCAACCTAGGGGAGTCCCAAACCACATGCAAAAATCCAGACACCCTAATCCAGGGGTCGGCAACCAAACCAACAACAAGAAGAGACATTTTTATTTTTATTCGGTAAAAAAACACCTCAATATTTCATGAGCCGCAATGCACTGCGGTGGTGAATGCGAGAGGGTGGTGGGTCTTAATAAAGAAAGCGTCACGAAAAAGTTTGCTTAAATAGCCACACGCGGCTTCAGAGCCACAGGCTTCCGACCCCTGCCTCAACCCTCCTGCAGAGTAATACATTACAGACATATATTTATATTTCAAATGATACTGCTGCATGAATACTCCCCCCACATCGCGTCAGACACGGCGGTTGTTTGACCATTCTCAAGTATTCTGGTCAACGGTGCCCAGGATCGGCGCAGATATAATTCGCCACTGACGTTAACCTTGGCCAGGAGTGGAACTCTGCTCGCCTGCTTCATAATCCGGTGCACCAACCACTTTGCCACTGCTTCGCCGACAAATCCGGGTAATGTTAAAGGATGTTGGTATCGACTGGCATTCGTTATGATGACCTCTTGACCTTCACGTTCAATAAAGTGTTACATTATTTAGTGAGGTGAGATGTAGAACACAGCACATGCCGTTCAGGATGGGGCCAATATATTGGCGAGGCCTTCATCCAGCAGTGAATTTATCATGGGTGATGATGATGTATTTGAATATGTATTTATCTCTCTTCTCCTGAAATGTTCGCAGGTCCGCCCTGGCATTCCAAATTCGTCAAATTGGCACGGTCGGCCACGTACGGTGCGAAAGAAGTTCAACATACATACATACATACATCCCTGAACAATCGAACGTTTGAAATTGGCAGGTTTAAATGTTGGTCAGATCAACCGACAGAGCCACAATTGCCACACAGTACTCGTTCCACGGTTGCACCCCTATCCCCAGTAGCCAGCCTGGGTCCCCGTCCAAGCCAGAGATTATGAAGCCACAATGACCGAGTTGTTTAACATTGTAAATCTCACCCATTGGAGAATACGCGGGCATCACGACGCACAATAAAGGGCTGCAATTTGTTATTTTTGTTTTATCAGCAGGATTAGCGGAGTTACAAGCGCAGCTCTTTTTCCATCAAAAGCGATGCCAGCCGAATGCACCGTGTGGGTAGGGCTATTGTGCGTCTCATTCACTCAATGGTGAAATGAGATAAGAGATAATAAAATATCTATATATATACCGAACACACTATGTATAATTTGCATTCGTATTAAATAGCCGTAACAAAGTTAGTTGATCGAACAGGGTCACGTGTGGTGGCATGTGGTGGTGTGAACAATGCGTAATGTAGCGGTCAGCGCTACACTGCGCTACAAATTCGGCCCCCCGAGTTCGATTCCCGCTCACGACCAACACCAGTGGCGATTATCTGAACTGGTCCTGGGCCTCCCCTAGGTCGACTCAGCCTCAAATGAGTACCTGATGTGGTGTGTAAACATCGCCACTGGGGAGACAAAGGCGGCCGAGCGTGGTGCTGGCAACCCAGCCCTCGTGTACCGTTCCGGCCTCCATAGGTGCTCACTAATAGCACTTGTTCCTATAGTCTGTTGAGGTTATACGGGCATCTTTGTCTTTTTGGTGGTGTAAACAATGGGTACTCCAATACATATTCAAAGACGTCTGACCAGCGTCGAAGAGTATGCCAAGCACCCTCTTAGACCGGCTCCCCATAATTCCCTCAATTGGAGGCGCACATCCGCCAACAGGGACGTGAGCGAGTAAATTGCAGGGCTGCGCCATTACCAGGTTTCCCAGAGCCCATCCCTGGCCAACTCCCGCGGGGGGCTGGACTTAACATCCGGCATGGAGTTGAAAGAGAAGAGCTGAATACACGGGATTTCCTCCTATCCCACTGGCAGCCCCGTGAAAAACCGGTCCATCGTGAAGAGAGTTGCATTGTTGTGAGTGGGTTGGGCGCGTGATTTGGCAACGCCAGGTGCCTGTTGCGCTCTCGCGGGCGTAGAGGAGGTGGAGTCCACGGTGGATGTCCCCGCCCGGCCAGGTGTTGGTTGGTTGATTGGTCAGGCAGATGGGCTCAAGGTACAACAGGGCACGCGAAGAGGGTGGGGGTTTTCGTACAACCGCCGTCTCCGTGTAGCCGCACACAGGTGTGTGTGTGTGTGGGCGCGTGAGTGCCACGACCTATAGTCCCGCACACACACACCGCCCCAAGCACATCGCCACCCCCACCTCCTCTGCCGAGCGACCATGGCGACTGGGAACGATGAGAACCCATCTGCATCCCAGCGTTGCTGCGATGCCTTCACGTACAAATGTCTCAAGTACGCGCTCTTCGCATATGCCGTCATCTTCTGGGTGAGTTCTGCTCCTGTTGCTACTGTTGTATTTACCAGGTGAAGCCCACCGAGCTGTATGAGCTCTTTTTGAAAAGCGACCTGGCCACAAGTGATCGCTGAACGAAAAATGTCCGATGTGGAAATGTGTAAAGCAGCCAAAGAACTCTAAACGCACGTTTCTTAATGTGGAGGGGAAAAACCTGAGAAAAAAAAATCCACGCGACCACGGGGAGAACATGCAAACTCCAAAAATGCAGGCGTCAGGGTCCGGACTTAGACCTACGACCTCCTGTAGACCAGGCGACGGGGATAACATCTCACACCCACCGCGACGCCGGCGCATTACGATGCTTTACAGCATCACGGCGGCGTCTTATGGGGCCATCAATTAAGTGCGTACGCATGGATGGGGGGATGGGGGGTTAACCCAAACGCGTACGCTAGCGTATGGGGGGGGGTCTACTGACAATGTGCGTACGCATGGGGAACGGGGGGGTGAGGCCTCGATAATAATTTGTCTACATCGACCTCGATATTAATTTGTCTACATCAACCTCGATATTAATTTGTCTACATCGGCCTTCAAATGAGTTAGTCTGGCGGTGGGCCATCTGTTTGCTTAAACACGTGAATATTATTAATCCTTGATCGTTTCTGCGTGGATTACGTATCGGCCGTTCTATAGAATTCGGGGTAGGGGGGGGGGTGCGTCAGGCGTACGTATGCACGCAGGTGTGGGGGGGGGGTGTAAAAAGTACGCGCGCGTACAGGGAGGAGAGAGGGGGGGCAGGTCAAGTTTTGACAGATTTATTTGCGTACCTCCTAAATGCATGGGGCCCCCTAAGCTCCCGGTGGTGCCACGTGCGTGCGCGTTTGGCCCAGCGATGGCGCGCACTTGCCGCTCTGGGTGTTCAGTGGGCACATCACCGCTGGCGTTGTGGCACAGCCGTGCGTCCGAGCCGCGCACCTGCGTTGATGAGAGTGGCGGCGCGCGCGCGCAGATGAGTGGCACGCGCGCGCGCAGATGAGTGGCACGCTCGTGGTGGTGTGAGTGGGGCACAGCCGTGGACGATTGTCACTGTACGCGGTGCTTTCACTTGCGCGATGGATGGGAGTCTTAAATTATTGAAACTGGCGCACATATATACTGTGTACACCACAGGGGTGGTAGTGAGGGCACCATATAATGTGACAATGTGGTTGGATGCTCTGCATCGAACACCCGCAGCACGAAATATGAAGAAGAGCACCATTCCGTGAACCTGGCAAGACACGATCTACTTTTGTTTTTGTTTAAAAGCTATCCGTCGTGGGTTAGGCAATACCTATGAACACGTGATGTTACAATGTGGTCGGGGTGGGTCTTACCGATTGAGAACAGTGATGTGCTTAGTCACGCGTAGTGACAGCACCCCATGCCTTCTTTGTTTAAGTTATGTCAACGGAGTTCCCCACACGCCTCCAGCAGGGTAGTGGAGAGGCAACATCGGCACATTGGACTGTACGTCAGGTACAAACATGTCTGCTCTCGGGAGATAGCTACTCACCTGGGGGCAAAGACAGCCTGCCGCACCTCCGATTCGCACGGTTGGCTGTGTACGGCGCGAAAGAAGTTCAACATTCATACGTGCAATTTCGAAATATTTAATGCAGAGCCATTTGTCAGTCCACTGCTGGACTGAAGACCTCCCCCACGCAGTGTTGGTCATGGGACTTGTCGTCCATACTTCACCACGCTGGTCACTGGGTTGGAGAAGTTATGAGGAGGAGCCCACGACTGATTCAGATATCAATTGCCACTAATGGGCGCCATGGTGGCGAGATGTTAGTTCCCATCCCTGGTATGCAGGAGGTCGTGGGTTCCATCCCGACCCTGACGCCTGCTGTATACAGTATTTGGAGTTTGCGTGTCTCTCTCCCCGTGGTCACGTGGGTATTCCTCCAGGCCCTCGGATTTTTCCGTCCACATTTAGAAACGTGCGTTTACAGTATTTGGCAGCTATAAATGTCCAGATGATAAGCCACTTTGTTGAGCTATCATTTGCGGCCAGGTCTCTTCTGAAAAGATATATATTTAGTTTAGTGGGCCTTGAAACAAAAAGTGTTGTTTTAGTGTCGTTTTCGTCATGTCAGCCACGGGCGCGTCTCAGACTCAAGGTTGCTGCATTTATAGATCAGTGCGTTAACCACTGCGTCACCCTTCTGCTTTGACGATCAAACGGTTTCAAGTTACTTCCTGGATCACCACCATTAACACGTGGCCTTCAACATTAATGGATGTAGCACGCTCATATCCACCACACATGACTACACATGAATGGCCTTGTGCTGCTTTCAAGCCACTGGTCGTTGTCAAAGTAATCTTTGTAATGATGGAAACTCGTTTGTGAACAAAACGCTGCGTCTCCGCATCGATATCCTGCTGCATGGACGTGTCACGTATTTCGATTTATATTTCAGCACCACGGAGGCTGTTTCAACAATTAGGGTGCTTGGGCTAAGGATTATATAAGCCTCTGCTGTTTATAAGGGCACACCAGTGCTGATATGATAAATCTTACACGGGTGGCTCTTTCTTCTTATTATAACAGTATTGATTTCCAGGTTTGTAAGCTCTAGAGGCTGCCCAGTCTATTTACAATGTGTAGTAAAAAAGAAGTCTAGAGACTGTGAAATGAGGAGTGCACAATGACTCATGATTAGTGGCTTATATTTGTTTCAGTAGGCATATAGGACATTCGTTTTACCCACTAGGGGTAGTTTAAGATTTAATTTTCTCCGATGTGGAGTATATCTCTCCCCCCCCCCCCCCCCCGATGTTGTATTTTTGTAATTAAATGTAATTCGCGTTAATATTGTTTATGCACTCAAGGTAATTGACAATGTTAAGAGTTTTAAGTAGTGTTAGTTGATTTTATTTTATTTTTTCCTAATTCTCTCGCAAACTAATTGTCGTGAAAAGTTCGTGTTTTACTACATAATTTAAGCAAAACGACGTTTACTTTATAGCACCAGGGAAGACGTAATTTTTTTAAACAGCATTTTTGGAGAGGATTTTGATTGCTGCTATATATGTGTATCACCCCGATCGAGTAATTTGCAGTGTAATTTTCGATATTGGTACCTTTGGACCTTGAAGCCGACACACACTATGACTTACTCTTGTGAATAATGACATCAGGGGATCTTTAACGTTTTGCTGTGAAGCAGATTGTGCATAGTATTATTACTGTTATTACACACCGCAGTATTAATCGGGGCGGCCGGTGGATACAAACCATGAAACTCTCCAACCAAGTTGCCAACGCGCTGCCACTAGCCCCCCCGTCCTCGACTGCGATGCACCGATTTTACACTGCCGTGTGGACACAGACACTCCGAAGGTAGGCTGCAACTGACCGGGCAGCGGTGGTGGCTACGCACGTGGCCTGTGATCCAGGGTTGGTAGATCACCGCACGAATGTTGCGAAACCCCCAAACCGGTGGGGCGTCATCGAGGTGCCATACCCTGGCTCTCCAGGAGACGGCGGTGCAGCGAGTGGACTGATCGCCATCTGTTTCTTGCTGTACGGGCATCGTGTGTTGCCCCCTCGCGAGCGTGGGGTTTTCTCCGAGTGCGCTAGTTTCCTCCTGCTTGTATGAACACTCATGAGTTGGCCGGAAACATCTTAAAAATACCAAAAATGTCGGCGTGGTTTTCCTGGATAAATGAGTAAATAATTATAAAACCTCTGGATTGCACATCCAGTGTGCGAACCATTACGGTTGGCTACGTACTGGTGCAAAATAAGTTAAACTTATATATATTAGCACCATGGCAACCCCCTTCATCTTTCCGGTAAAAATGTGACGTTCATCGCTAGAAATATTTACGTATGTGTGGCCATCTGGTAACCGGTGTTTTACCAGGTTTTCATGCAATTACCAGCAATGCATTCAGACCCATTTTAACACCCCTTACAATTAACTCACAGAGTTGAAGGGGATCGATGAAGGGGGAAGGAGGGGGTGGGCCAAATATCACTCGTCACTGCTATTAGCTGTGGCCGGGAATCCGACTTAGATCCCCACGTTTGTAGTGCAATGTGCTAACCACTGCGCCACCGCTCCGCCTCTCAGCAAGCATGGGGGGGGGGGGTATAAAAAATCTATAAGGGAAAGAGCAGTTGGACTTAATGTTGACATGCCCCTGGTGATATAAAGACTGCTCGCACACATTTCTCTGAATCGGTGAGTGAGTGTTGTTCATAATGCATTGGCAGTGCTGAGTTATTGATGGATGTGTCACATTTATATGGGCGGAACAGTCTCTCCGTATAGCAACCACTGATAGCATACCATCAAACAATGCAGCCAGGTGGTGTTCTCTTTCATCATGAAATGGCCCTGCTATATGAATATTTAGCCAGGCAGCGGTGGTGCTTGCTCAACATACAGCACTGTGCAGGGGTGGTGAGGGTTTTGCTGGATCACACAAATGTTGCGAACCTCCCTTCCCATGGGCGTCAGTGGCATAACTTGACTTGCCAGGAGAAGGTGGGTATCAAAGTGAAGACGAATCAAATGTCCCTTCTCTATGTGTACGTGTGTACGTATGTTGAACTTATTTCGCACCGTACATAGCCACTCGTGCTAACCGGAGGTGCCGATAGTGTGGTACCATCACATGATTGGGTTTTCTCTGGGTGAACCGGTTTCCTTTCACTTGTTTAAACACTCATTCATTGGCTGATAACATCTTAATGTGTAGAGGGCCACAGAGCTTGGGCAGTTACTGGTGCCAGGTCACCCCCAGGTTGCCTTCCAGCTTGTCTGTGGTTCCTTAGCGATTTGCGATAGGCAATGTACCTGCATGACGTTATCTGAAGTGAAACAATATCGGCATTAATTTGTTCAATTTGGCAAGAGGCATAGAAAGGCTTTGTGTGTAGAAGTGTGCAAATGTGTATGTGCCATCCTGGAAAATGGCTGCTATTCGTTCGTGTGAAATTTGAAAGAGGGTAAAAAGCCACTCATCCC